CGTTTTCACTTATATCTGAACTTTCTGAATAGGCTTGTGGTGAACTGCTCAGGATGCGAATTTGCGTGTGTGAGCCGCTATTAGACAGGATGTTTTCTGAAGCTCGTGCGGGTCGCTGGCGGTTGTAAAGATTTTAAAGAGATGCTTAACTCCCTTGCTTTAGGGAACATGATTGGAGACTGCATACTGATAGTACTTATACAAATTCCATAAATGCCATCAGAACTAGTTCATCCGAGCTGTCTACTGCGTATGTCACTGTTCTCCCCTTTAATGTCTTCTGTCGAGATCATGAGTTAACAATATCCCGCCGGCTCCGGGGTGATAGGATAGTTGGAAGAGAAAGAGTAACGAATCAAAGACGGGCAAAGGACATGTGCCGCCTCTGGAGTAAAAATTGACCCAGGAATACAGAGCCAATACTAAGCTTTGATATATCATTTTCAGTTTAATTAAGCGCTCACAGAGAAGCATCGATGGCTGGTCAGGATGCCGGAGCCTTCGGGCCGTTCACATTGAAATGACATTTTTCTCATGGACGAAACTCTGGCTGTTCATTTGGTATATTCATAACAATTCAAGAATGTTTGCCTACCTCCTTCATGACTTGTGACTAGCTATAATTTTGTAAATGTCACAGTAGTGTTATAAGCATATTATCGACTGCATTCCAGTCGCACCGTCATAGTAGTTGCGAATTTATCTATCAAACGTTAGTTGGGGCATAAAATGGCAAAAATGTGCCTCGTAACATCTTTGAGTCATTAATTGAGTATTGCCAGTGGCTTGACTTTCGCTGCAGTCTCATAAAACTACCCGAATGCGTGTTTAGTGACGAGTGGGGTTCATATATCAAGTTTGGCCCGATGAATACACAGTTTCCCTTTCTCAGGAGACCTAAATTCGTATTTGAGCGGCAGTGGTGGGCGTCATGTCAGCCACTACCTCATCGACTATTACTCGGCCAGGCCGCTGGTCCACAAGAAAAGGTAATGATGCTTAAGTCATCCTATCTGGCGTTGTG